ACATATATATTTACATTTCAATTTGAACATAGAAGAGAAAGAAAGTTCACATATCAACATCTTCGTACATCCACAAAAAAATGCAAACACTGATAATTTTAATTGTCTTTATGCTCCAGTTGATTCAGTATACCTTTTTTTTGATTCTGACAAACTTTTGACTCAGAGAAAAATTCTTTGACACTTCGAGACTCCATGTAATTTCGCAAGTCTTTTAGTGTGATTGAATCTTCTGGTGTGAAATAAAGTCAAGCCTAGTCAATTGGTTCAGTCAAGTTCGAAATTCACTATTTTCTCCTTGGTAAGCTCTTATGCACATTCGCACCCAAACTCATCAGTAATTATAGTCGTAAAAAAATTTGATTAAGTTCAAACGTAAATTAAGACTTATCAAAAGTTCGTTGTGTTCAATTTAAAAGAAGTGATACACTCAATTCAATCAAATCAATATTCACTCACACTCCAAAATTCTCTTGTGTACCAGTATCCTTACTATCGGCTGACATTCATCCGAATGCTCGATGGCAACAAAATGGTATCACTGTAGCTGGAGGAAATCGACAAGGCAATGGAATCAATCAACTCTCAGACCCATGGGGTTTGTATGTTGATAATGATCAAACAATCTATGTTGCTGATACATCGAATCATCGTATTGTGGAATGGAAACAAGGTGCAACAAGTGGCCAAGTGGTTGCCGGTGGAAATGGACAAGGAAGTGGAGATCATCAATTGTATAACCCAGAAGATGTGATTATCGACAAAGAGAGAGATAGTCTCATCATATGCGATACTTCGAATGGAAGAGTGGTTCGATGGCCTCGTCGAAATGGGACAAGTGGAGAAACAATCATCTCCAACATCTATTGTTTGGGTTTGACAATGGACGAGAATGGATCTCTCTATGTCACTGACTTTGGAAAACATGAAGTGAGACGATATCGAAGAGGAGAATCTCAAGGAACAGTGGTTGCAGGTGGCAATGGAAGTGGAAATCGTCTCGATCAACTCTCTGACCCCTCATACGTATTCGTCGATCGAGATCATTCAGTGTACGTATCTGAATGGAACAATCATCGTGTGATGAAATGGATGGAAGGTGCAAAACAAGGCATTGT